AAACCAATCACAGCACGTCGTTCAATTAGTTATAAGATCTGTTTCATTTTATTTTCATTATTACCTGATACACATTGTTAGAAATAACACGATTTTAAATATAACCATCAAAAGTCAAATAAAACCGTTCATTGAAGAGCACCTGCCTCCGTTCCTGTACACGATGGTTTCCGCAACACGGAACCAAATTGCTCACCGTTGATATTAAGACGTGAACTTTAAAATGTAATTTGTATATTTTTTTTAAAATGTTCTTATTTCTTAAGCATTTTATAACATTTTGATTGATAATTACAAGTTTTTACAGATATTCTGTTTGCTTGCTTCTTAAACCAAGCATTTCCCAAGGCTTGGCTGGTAGAAAATGTACGCATTCAGTTTCCCCATGAATCCATAGTTTATGAAATTTAATAACTAAAACAAATTTGATTCTGATAACTACTTAAACGTAGCACAATAAAAAATGCAATTTTACCAATAAAAGTAGCAGCATTGAGTATTTTCCAAACCACTAATTAGTATCTTTAAATAAGAATTAACCGTAATCTACAGATTACCAACTCTTGATCCGCAGTTAACTAAACAAACAACAAACGCACTACGTTGACACGGAAAAGACCAGAGCACATTGTAACGTATCATTTCCCGATCCGCGAGTAAATACGAGAGGAACCAGGAAACCAGTCCTAAGCCCACAGTATCAGTGACACGTACACACGACACTCACACACCCTTCCCCCTGAACCCTGAACAAATCCTTTAATCCCCACAATACTTTGTTATTAATGAAGAACAAAAACAGGCGAGTTTTAACGCTGCTTAATAAATGAATGTTATGTAGAAGTCTACGATGATCTATCAACGTCTCCTCAAGATAAAATTACGTCATCCGAATTAGATTTATTATTGTCTTAGGTTAAGTGAAGTGTGTCATGCGTTCTTAAAGGTTTTCCGACGGTTGATTTATTGTTTGGTTATTATGAAACTCGAGTTGCCATATTTAACTAGAGTTATGGTTGGAAAGGCTTACTACTGAATATTATTAATATTAAATTGTATGTCCTTTTCAGTTAAGATTCGTATTTATATAAATCTATCGTTGTTGAATCTTCTAAAGTAATTCAGTTTGCATTGATAAAGTCTTTTAGTATTACATGGTTTATTTATAAAGGAAGTGTATAAGCATAATATTAAATTTCACACTATGCTTTTCACAAAGGGTGAAACAGCAACATCAGCTAATAATGATAATATAGTTTGGTTGAAATTAATATCATTGTATTATGCTTCTTCTTGATAACCTGAAACAAATTTGTACGAGGAACAAAATTAATATAAATGGACTTTATTTTTAGGGGGTTTCAATGTTATAGAAATGTTTGTAATCATAGTACACATAAAGTTGCATTTTCCTTGTATTAGTGCTAACAATTTGTTTGCCATATACAAACAGACACCGTGAACAAACAACAATCCAAAGTCGACTAGTGTGCGCTTTAATTTTGCGAATATTACCACTTGGTGCGCCACCGTGTGGAGCTCATACTGTGATGAAGAGATGGTGCACACTATTTGATGGTAAATAAACTACAAATCACTATTAAATTATAAACTGCAAAGAAATATTTAAGACGAGAACTCATGAACAAGATTTAGTATAAAAACTGTAAACAATAATTTTTCAATTTAAACTTGCAAATGGCAAATAAAAATTAGACCTTATGTGCTTGGCAAAGGATTTTTAAAAGTAACTACAAAAGGCTAGTCGGAAAACTGTCTAGTACGTAATATAATGTAACAAAAGCTAACGTTGAGCTCCCAGCTTTAAATCAGTAACGTTGAAATGAAACGAAATTTGGGCGGTTGTAAAAACTGCAAAAAGGCCGGCGCGTGTTGAAGTGGTCGACTGTGGCACTGTATTGTTCCTGCGTAATAATGCCGCGCCTGATTTAAGCGGTCGCGGATTGCATGTGTGGAACTTTTGCTCCTATTTTTTTGTCATTCAACGTTCTTTACTTACTGTTTTTGCCGCATCATCACACTCTCTTTACTAAAACTACCAGTAACATCATTATCGATAAACGATTTACTTGTTGTCGCGTTTTTGTTTGGATACGAACTATCAAAGCAATTGTTTCTACATTGAATACTCGGGTTTAGTCCAAAAGTTAGTTTTAATGCGATTGTAATTTCACAAAATAGGTACGATAAGTGTTATTTTTTTTTTATATTAGTTGACTGTGGGTCAGATACGCAGTAATTACGTTATAATTTACTCCTCTCATGGACATCTACAACCCCAGAAAGTTAAAAATTGGGAAGTTGGGGAATTGGTGGACTTAAGACTGTGCCGGCGAGTACACGGCAACTCACAAGGCATGCTTTGTTTTACGACAGTTTTCTCTGAATTGAAAAAAAAAAACAATGAAACCAATACCTACCAAGTACTATATTGGGTGTTACAATTTATTTACGCCTAATTGTGGTATTATCGTTAGAAAGAAAAATACGAATATAAGTTTACTGCTTTTAAACCGCATCCGAAGAAAAATTAAAATGAGGAATCATTAAAATATATTCAAGTAGCACCTTACAAACTCTTTGAAGATTAGTTTCGGAGTCATCGGTAATAGCCGACGCGTCCCGTCTTCGATGCAAATCGGGAATCGATTTTGCCCCGCCAATCGGCACTTGGAGAATTTAACACTTTTGAATTCATAAGCGCGAGATGGAAAAGTTTTTGCGGGTCTCTTGGTTTGTCAAATAACTTGTTATTACTTTGAAGCCGGCTAGTAACTTCTTTTAAAAGGGTGTTCCAATGACGGCGACAAACCGGATCGCATACGGTGGCAAAGTTGCCTGCTGAGAAATTTTATCAAGATATTTTCTTTTTTTGCTGTGATTTATTTTATGTGTAGCTGCATAAAAGATATCGTATTTTGATAAGAGAATATTTTTTTTCGAATGTGATGAATGCAGTGGCTGACTTTACCTACCAAGATTTAAATTGGTCATACAAAATTTGACTTTATAATTTAAATGTAAGTAATACCACTTTAGTAAATTTTATAAAATTCTGATCGATCTCTAATTTTAACATCAATATTAGTGTAGTAGGCAAGGCATTTTTCTTAAGCCCAACGTCGCCCATCGAGGAAAACCGGTCTAGAATTACAAAGCTGATATTTTTTTAATATGGTAACGGTTCATTATCACCTTTAACGCTATGTTTCACCACGTAAGTGAGGTAACCGGAGGCCCATTCCTACCTCTCTCTTCATCCCTCTCCAATCTCTGAATCCCCTTATCCCCAAAAGACTGGCTCACTCCTTTGGTGTTGCGAGTTTTTATAGGCGCCGCCGGGTTACTATAAGGTTATTCGTGTACTGGTTATCGCCTGTTTTGCGTTTTGCAAAAACCTTGAAAGTTTGCTTTTCATAATAGTTTATCAAACAATATTTATTTTAATCCTTTTATTTCTTTAAACAGCTACTATATTTTATTTACTGAACAAAACCTAATATAAATTTCACGTTGTGTAATACAAAAAAAGATTTCAGGAAAATATCAGTTTCCCTAAATGTTTGTGAATCAAGTCCGCACAAATAAATAATGGTTTTCCTAACAAATATAACGGGAGAGCACACTCGTCGAGGACCTTTCCAAAAGTCCTTTGAGTCATTATATCCTAATGGTATTATAATAATTTAAGTGTAGGAAAAATATTTAAAATTCAGCGTCGGCGCTCGTGAGTCACGTTTGGGATCGGGTTAAAATTCAACAGTTTTCGCCTTTTCCGTAATTTATTCAAATAAATTTTGGACATGCGACGCGACGAGAAAATGGCCTGTTTAGGCACGTCAGGACGACCCGTTCTGTATTTAAATTGTACGGTCATTATAAACGCGGTAATGGAAGATCAACACATCTTTATTTATAAACATTAATTTGTTCTCATTTGTGATGGAGCCCAGTCGTAATAGAATTCATAAACTGCTTATTTTATTTATATTCTGTACAGTATTATTTGTGTCAACCTATAAATAAACTCCATTTGATGTCCTTGACTATCGCGATTCTTAAGTAAGTTATACATTGTCTAAATTATACTTTGACAATAAAACTGGTTTACATGCAAAAAATACAAATTTTAAAACAAGTATTTTTCAACTTTTTATTTTAGAAATTCTATAAGAATTGTTGAAGACCAATTAATATATTTTGTATTACACACACATATTACAATTTTATCAATCACCATTATGAACATTTTTTTTGTTGTTAATTTTACCGTAGAATATGACCACAAAATCTTATTAGTGTGAGAACAACAATAACCATATTAACGGAACACAAAACGCCTAAAAAGAAGTTTCATACTTTCAAGTTCACTTAGAACATTCAGTTGTCATACTCGTAGGCCCTGCACCGGGGTTGCGAGGTAAGCGCAATGAGGCACCGCGACCTCGGCCCAGAGTAGGAGAAGGAACGGGGGGTTTTGAGTCAGTAAGAGTCTGATACTCTCTCCTGTCCGACCCTGAGCAGGAGAAGTCATTTGATGATTTTCCCCTCAAAAAAAAATAGGCCCCAGTTAAGGTACTCAGAGTGGTTGAAGACATTTGATGATTATTCCTATCAAAAAAGTAATTAATACTTTTAACCATCCAACAATGTTGTAATTAATATCTTGTAACTCAACACAACTGACAACAAAACTGACCGAGCAACTTGCAATGATGTAAGGAAATAAGTGGCACAGACACATTTACCAATTAATCGTACTGAATTATCTAATAACTCGTAAAGATAGGAAATGTGGAACAAAGTATCGACAGGAGATAGCCTTGAGAAAATAATTATCAGAATTTCTCCCATTTAACGCAAATTAAACAATAAATAAATACACGATTGCATTATCTGCTTACATAGTTGCGTTCCACGTTCAAATTTTTTTTCCGGGTGTCGCTATCTCGCTCTAGCACATGACATAATCATGCGTCAGTGAAGTAATACCGCGCGTGCGCGCTGCGCGTCACACCGCAAGGCCGTCCGGCGAACTGTCAAATAAGATAAACACTTCAAGTGGATTGTTGTTAGCACTCGTTGTACGAAAGTTATAAAACAAAGTGATTATTATACTTCTAAAAAGATATAAAATGTTAACATAGTATCCGAAAAGTGATAGAAAAAGTGTTTATTCATGTAATTTTACCGTGATCAATGAATGTGTACATAACATAACCTCGAACCTATATTCCAGTGAAGTGAGCAAAGAAATTTTAACCGTATTCTTGTAGTGTTAAAGACTGTTATAAAAAATGAAGTATGGTAAAAAAATAGTTTTATTTACGCTCTTTGCGATGAACCTAATAGATCAGCCGGCACCAGAAATTACGATAGAACAAGGAACTTTGAGCGGTAAAATAAGTAGCGATGGGTCGTTTTTTGAATACATCGGAATTCCATACGCTAGTACTAATAGCAGTACGAGGTTCAAGGTAAGTGTGTCGATTAAATTATTTATTAGGAGTTTAGTCATCATAAAAATACTGACATAACGAAAGTATAAATATGTAGATACTTAGAGATATTTAGTTGATTTACTATTTATTTTAATCGAAATCATAAAATCTCAATCAATATCTATTATAATTTAGATAGTTCCCAAAGATAAGATCACAAACTACGAATAGCACAATTACACATAGTAACAAATAGATAAAAAGTTAAATGTCGTCATTACTAGCCACTTCAAGGACACCCAATACAAATTTATTACATTGTAAAATAATTATTATAGAAGACACTCTAATGTATTTTTCCACTATACAAACAATAATAGGTATTGTCTTCTCTATTTGTAATTTTGCATGCTATTAACTGCACAGGGCTAATTCATTTATTATGCAAATTCATAATTAAAACAGGGTTCATTTCGATTCCTGGTATCAACATTTTACAGATATTCGTATAAATCGAAACTAACATTATAGTTTTTTTTTCAGAAATAACAGTATTCAGAATTAACCCCGGTATATAACAATAGGCTCATCCCCTATTAATATAATGATATAATTACCTAAACATGGGTTTGGTATTGTGTTCACAATTTCCTAGGGGTTAAGGAGTAAAAAAAGCTTGCATCAGCCGAGAAATGAACATAGGCTAGACAATAAATATGGAAATCGCATTACAAATGTCGATAAATCTTACAATATAATAGTATATTTTTTGCTTATTTTAATGAATCATTCCTAAAATCCTAAGGTTTTGTTTCCATCGCAGTTTTCTTTCTAGGCACCACATCCACCTCCATCATGGGACGGGATTTACAAGGCAGTGGACGAAATATATCAATGTCCACAAACCTCATTATTCGGCATAGTTGTTGGAACTGAAGATTGTTTAAAAATCAACGTCTATGTACCAGCTTTAGCGAAAAAACCCTTACCTGTCATGGTTTATATTCATGGAGGTGCATTTTTACTTGGAAGTGGAGGGAAGTTCATCTACGCACCAGATTTTCTAGTCAAAGAAGATGTTATTTTAGTAACATTTAACTATAGGCTAGGAGCACTAGGGTTTCTTTGTCTGGGTATAAAAGAAGCACCTGGTAACGCAGGTATCAAGGATCAAATAGCTGCTCTAAGATGGGTGAAGAAAAACATTCGTGCATTTGGTGGAGATCCCGATAACGTAACAGTTTTCGGACAAAGTGCTGGAGCCACATCTGTATCTCTGCTACTAGTTAGTAAAGCAACTGAAGGATTGTTTCAAAAAGCAATCGTACAGAGTGGTGGTTCTACATCTAGTTGGGCAATAAATAGGCAACCACGATGGGTGGCTAGTCTTATAGCTAAACATTTAGGATATGATACTGAAGATCCCAATGAAATCTATGGAATATTTTCCAAAATTCCATACGATAAATTAATAAAAGCAAGACCAAAAAAACCACTTGGCATGTATTTTGATACACAGTTGTTAAATTATCCGTGTGTCGAACAAGACATCGAAGGAGTAGAAGCTGTTATCACAGATTACCCGTACAATATTTTTGATAGTAATCCCAAAAATATACCAGTTATTTATGGAACAACTAGTAAAGAGGGAATGTTTTTAATACCTGATGATACAAAAGAGTCTTTAGCGGCAAGAGACGCCAAATACATGATTGCATCAGACCTGTTATTCCCATCAGAAGAAGAAGCAGCTAATGTATCAAGGATGGCACGAACATTTTACTTTGGTGAAAAGAATATTAGCTTCGAAGTACAAAGTGCTATAATAGATCTCAACACAGAACTGTATTTTGAAGTACCTTCTATATTAGAGTCAGAAGCTTTAATTAAGAACATAGAAAGTAATGTATACAATTATTACTTTAACTACTCCGGTGGAAGGAACTTCCTAAAGTTTATAAGTGGATTTAAGAACGAAACTGGAGCATGTCATAGTGATGAATTATTTTATTTGTTCAAAGGAAATATTTGGCCTTTCCCTATAAGTAACGACGATAAAAAAATGATTCATTTGATGACTAAAATGTGGACCAACTTTGCTAAGTATGGGTAAGTTTACTATAAAACTTATTTCGAAGGATAAGTTATAACTTTTGAGAGACACTAGGTTCACAGCACGGTTGGTGCAGTGGCTGGGCAGCCACTGCACCAACCGTGCTGTGAACTGGCTGCCGCGCAACGTGTCGCGGGTTCAATTCCCGAACGGAAAAACTGTTTGTGTCATTTGCAAATTATTGTTCCGAGTCTGGGTGTGAGGTATATTTGTAAGTGTGCCCACGATACAAGAGAATTGTGATGTAGGGTAACTTTTTTTTAATTTAAATATTTACTGAACTAAATAAACTCTTATTTATTTTAGAAATCCAACACCAAGCGATGACTTACCTGTGATATGGGAGCCCAGTACTAAAGACACAATGAAATTTCTTTACATCGACCAAGAATTGAAAATGGGTCCAATCCCTAATCCCAAAGCTTATCAACTTTGGAAAAGTATTTATGAAAAATATCGTAAAAAGATTAAACCAAATGATTTTTAAATCTGAACATTTTATTTTACACCTATACATTCTTATAATTTATTTTAGGGTATAACTTCTTCCCTCCTGAAGTTATCTTGCCAGGTTATAAAAGACATGTCGAGTACATTCCATGAACAGATGACCTCTGAAACCATTATCAGTAGTTTTTGTAATCGAATAGTGATGACAGTTATATTATTAGTAGTAGAGCCGCGGACCGGGCGCGTAGCACCCGCGTAGAAAACCTTTGAACTAATAGACAACTATAAACTTCATTAAGTAGTTAATTAGAACGTAAAACCTATAATAACGACTATTATATTCCTATGTCACGACTGCACATAAAATCGTATCTGAAACCAATAACTTCAACGTTTTGAATATTCAGTGAGCAAAGTCTGAACCAAACAATGTTGTTTGTTTTAAAAGTTGAAAGTGAGTAATCAAATATGAAAAGTGGAAAAAGAATAGTTTTATTTACATTATTCGCCATAAACTTGGTCGACCAGCCAGCGCCCGAAGTGAAAATTGAACAAGGTATTTTGAGCGGTAAAGTCAGTGCAGATGGGTCATATTTTGAATACATTGGTATACCTTACGCTTCTACTAATAGCAGCACGAGGTTCAAGGTAAGTTTTGATTGTTTGTAAACAACTTGACTGTTTAACAGGACTTACAAATTGCAGTATAGTTCTTTGCATTAAATAAGTTTTTCAAAGTTAAATTTTACATTTCAGGCTCCGCTTCCACCTACGTCATGGAATGGAGTATACAGAGCAGTTGATGAACATTACCAATGTCCACAACCTTCTATATTTGGAGTAATAGGAATGGAAGACTGCCTAAAGATCAATGTTTACGTACCAGTCAAAGCCAAAAAACCTTTTCCCGTCATGGTTTACATTCATGGAGGAACTTATATCATTGGAAACGGTGGAAAACTTTTATACGGACCTGATTTTTTAATCCATCAAGACGTTATTTTGGTCACTTTTAACTATAGACTTGGGGCATTAGGATTTATTTGTCTTGGTATTAAAGAAGCACCTGGCAATGCAGGGTTGAAGGATCAAATTGCTGCTCTGAGATGGGTTAGGAAAAATATTGCGGCGTTTGGTGGAGATCCAGATAATGTCACTCTTTTTGGGCTGAGCGCTGGAGCAACCTCCGTGTCAATGTTGATAGCTAGTAACGCTACTAAAGGTTTGTTTAAAAGAGCAATTTTACAAAGTGGAGTGTCTACCTCAAGCTGGGCAGTTAACCGACAACCGTTATTCACTGCTAGTCTGGTGGCAAAAGAACTTGGCTATGATACTGAAGATCCAAAAACAATGTATGATATATTCTCTAAAATACCATACAAAGATTTAATAGCCGCTAAGCCAAAGAAACCAATAGGGAAATACTTCGATTTTCAATTAATACATTATCCATGTGTTGAAAAAGTGATTGACGGCGAAGAAGCCGTGATGACTGATTTACCTTATAATTTATTTAATAAGAATTCAAAGAACATATCTGTGATATATGGGACGACGAGCAAAGAAGGAGTTATTCTATTGCCAGAAGAGACGGAAGATACATTGAGAGAAAGAGACTCAAAATACATATTTTCACCTGACTTAAACTTTCCTTCAGAGGACGAAGCTGCAAATCTTTCAAGTGCAGTAAAAGAATATTACTTTGGTCCACGAAATATTAGTTTTAAAGCGCAGAAAGCTTTATTAGATCTCAACACACATTTATATTTTGAAATGCCCACTTTATTGGAATCTGAAATAGTTATGAACAAAACCAACGCTCCTATCTATAACTACTATTTTAATTATTCTGGAGGAAGAAACTTCTTGAAGTATATTTCAGGTTATAATGACGAGCCAGGAGCTTGTCATGGCGATGAAATCATGTACTTGTTCAAAGGAAACGCTTGGCCGTTTGCAATTAGTAAAAAAGATCAAACTATGATTAACTGGATGACGAGGTTATGGACGAATTTTGCGAGATATGGGTGCGTATTTAATTTTTTTGTTATACTACATAAAGTTATCATAAGCACATTATAAGTTCAGTTTTAATAAAATAATATTATAATATTGTTCAAATACATTATTAATTGATATGTTGTACCTACGCACATTATGTTGATTCTGCTACCGGGATTTATTTTTATCTTTTGTTACAGAAACCCTACTCCTCCTACAAATGACCTGCCCGTCCAATGGAGTCCGAGTACCAAAGGAAATATGACGTTCCTGTATATAGAGGATGAGCTGAAAATGGGTCCTCTCCCCAATCCAGATCCCTATAGGTTGTGGAAAAATATCTACAGCAAATATCGTAATACTAATATAGTAAATGATTTTAAAAGATAATACTGTTGTTTTAATTACATATTATTGAACGGGTGCCAATATATATGGTGACTAGCTCAGTAGAATACTATTTAAAAAACCATGTTGAAAAGAGAAGAGAAAGAGGTTGATGAATGAAGAATTAACATGTATGAGCAGGTTTAGTCACTTAATATATAATTGTACACATTTTTTTTAATTAGAGTACACATATAGGCACATTTGAGTTCTATTTTTATTATAAATGAATTTGTTTTAAATGTTTCAAAATTTACTATTTTGAAATTCAAATTATACATTTATTGTTATTTCGACGTTTGAATAATAATAATAAAAAAACATTAAGTTTGATAAAATTTTTAATACGTTCATTTACATACAATAAAAACATAATAATAAAGTAATAACTACAATCCGTCTACAAACAAAACTATTTTAATTAATTCTATATATAATTAAGATTATTTTAATAACGAGAGAATAATATTTTAACGTTTGCAATAAAAAGTGAGTATAGAAAAAAATACAAAGGCCAGACAGATATTACGAAATTAGATACTAAGTAGCCATTGATTTATATTAATTAGGATGTCACATTATTCTAATCCTCCTTAAAAAAAGTTTTTTTATGACATAGAACTTCAAACGAGCAGACGGATTACCTGATGGTAAGCAATCAGCGCCGCCCATAGACACCACCACCACCGCAACACCAAAGGAATTTCGTGTGCCTTGCTGGCCTTTTAGGGATTAGGGTTTCAGATATTTAAGGATTGGGAAGGGATGGGGGGAGAGGTGGGGGCGATTAGGCCTCCAGGAACCTCACTCAAATGGCGAAACACCACGCTGTAGTTGTTTCACGCCGGTTTTCTGTGAGGCCGTTTTATTATTCCGGTCGAGCCGACCCATTCGTACTGAAGCTTGGCTCTCCCACACTTATATAATTATTGCTAAGCTAATAATGTTCTATGTATAGCTATATCCTGAAGGGTTCACTAGGGTTAGATGACCCGATATTCATATCACAAAATTCTGTTGCTAAGTTGTTAATATCTTTATTAGAATTTGAACTTTATTGGTTTGTTACAAAGTTGAATGTATTTAATGATTTTTCTGACTACGCGATTGATTTCTACTGTCATAATTAATCGAAAAAAAACATTAATCTGTAGACCTTATTAGCATAATTATGTGCCCTTTCCAGCTCCTTGCATTTTGTTGCGTTATGGTTTGAAAACTGTTTTTCTGGATTAACATCTTGAGGTGCACCTTTCATCAGATCAAAACCATGCCGAAAAACTCTATGATGAGACATGTATAGAAAAATATTAATTCCCTGCACGGTTGGCGCTGTAGTTGTGGATTGCCGCGCAACGTTTCGCGAGTTTGATTCCCGTACAGAACAACTCTTTGTGTGATCCACAATTTCTTGTTACGGGCCTGGGTGTGACGAGTATGTGAAATTATATATTTGAACGCAACTACGACATAGGAGAAAATCCTAGTGTGGGAAAAAAACAAAAAAACAAAACAAAAATATCTCACACATACATAGCATGCAAACCGTTGAAAAAAATATCTCATTCTGTAACAATTTCGTCTTTGAAGTAATTGACCTACTAACATCTGTGGAATCTATACTTGTCTAATACAGAATGTATTGATAACACAATCAGTGGAGGTCAAAGATTTGTTTGTAAGTAATATTATCTCTAAAAACATCATGTACAAATATTATTATACCTATAGTATATAAACCTTTGTTAAAGATAATACAATTAATTGAGAAATAATTTAATTATATTTATACTTCACTAGCTTTTTCCTGCGACTTTGTTTGCGTAGAATAGTGACTTCCTGCAGATTTTTGCGTCTTTTCTCGAGTATCAAACTATGTCTGTAGCAAATTTCACAAAAATAGGTTCAGTAGTTTAGGCGTGAAGAAAAGACAGACAGAAAGAGTTACTTTCATATTTATAATATTAGTTTGGCTAAACATTTCTTTTTTATCGAAATATACATAATGTTCTAAGGAAATTCAATGAAACTTTTTTACTTTAAAATCCTTATTTCTATGTGCTATGTGCTGTTTTGTTTCTATAAAATTTAATTTTATACGTATACCAATTTTGTCAGAGTTAATACAATATACCTCATTATAGTAATTGATTTTTATTTCAGGTTTCAGGTACGTAAGTAAGCATAAATTAAGCTTTGAATTCAAATGTATAAAAAGTGACAGTGATCAGTTAAATACAAATAGAAAAATATTTATATATCTACTTTACGCTGAAATTGAGTTGTAATAGAACCTATTGTCTCTCTGCAAAAATAATATACATTCAGTATTTACTTTTTTCTCCAATTCTAGTATCGATAGAAGTAGGTAGTCTGTGCGCGTAACGTGTCACGGGTACGATTCCCTTACGGAAAAAATATAATTTTGTGTTATCTACAGATTATTGTTCCGGGTCACTCACCCCAATTTTTTGTATGTATGTGTATCTACATGATTGCATAATAACAGGTTTTGGTGGTTTTTATTGGTATTATTTAATGCATGTATACTAAAACCTAGTGTCTTAGTACGCACACCTTTTATTTCTAACCAGGACTTTAGTAACAATACTAACATACCTGTTTTTTTTGTGAGGGGAAAATCATCAAATGTCTTCTCCCGCTCAGAGCCGGGCGGGAGGGAGTGTCAGACTCTTACTGACTAAAAACCCCCCTGTTCCTTCTCCTGCTCTGGGCCGAGGTCGCAGTGCCTCATTGCGCTTACCCCGCAACCCCGGCACTAACATACCTGTTGACTTTTATTTTTTACTATATATTTTTAACAAACACTCACGTATTGTTAATATAGAATTTTGTAAAATAACAATTGTAGTGACACATATTATTTTATAATAAAATGACTAGCAAATATTTTCTTAGCATCTATAATATACTTAATGAGTTAACCGTTAATAATGTTTGTTTCACGCCTTGTTTCTTTTATTTCCTATCGCAAGCGACCAAAAAATAGACCTCTTTTGTTACTGCTTGATTAACAACCCAGTCCCAGGTTGGTTCAAAAGTTACCGGGATTTTTTATCCACTTTTGTTACAACCAGAAGTAATATAAGTAATATTAGTTTTTTGCATGAGTATAACATTGCATGTCTTGACTTATCTGATCTAATCAGTTTTACCTAATTAACATCTCTTGTTAAATTTTAAAACCTAAATAACTTTAATATGATTAATTCACAGGCACCACTACCTCCACCAAAATGGGAGGGAGTATACAAGGCCGTGGATGAAATGTATCAATGTCCACAACATCCAATCGGTTTACCTATTAAAGCAGTTGGTTCAGAAGATTGCCTAAAAATCAACGTGTACGTTCCGGCAAAGACTAAAGGACCACTGCCTGTCATGGTATACATTCATGGTGGTGCTTACGTTCTTGGAAATGGTGGAAAAATGGTAGTTGGACCAGAATTCCTCGTTAAGCAAGATGTCATATTAGTTTCTTTCAACTATAGACTTGGAGTATTAGGTTTTTTATGCTTACATACTCAAGAAGCACCCGGTAATGCCGGCCTAAAAGATCAAGTTGCGGCTTTACGCTGGATTAAGAAAAATATAGCCGCATTCGGTGGAGATCCAGATAATGTTACCATATTCGGAACGAGCGCTGGTGCATCTTCCGTATCTTTTCTTGTTGCCAGCGAAACAACTAATGGTCTATTCCAACGAGCGATTTTGCACAGTGGATCATCTTTAGCAAACTGGGCCATAAGCTACGATCCCATATCCGTTGCAAGAAACATTTTAAAAATATTAGGATACGACACAAAGGACCCAAAGGAAATGTACGAAATATTTTACAGATTACCAGTGAACGACATAGTTATGTCAACGGCACATAGCCCTATACCGCATCTTTTATCAAATCACTTAATAACGTTACCCTGTGTGGAGCAAAATATTCCTGGCGTGGAATCCGTAATAACTGACCTTCCTTATAACCTTATAACTAAAAATACAAAAAATATATCTTTAATGTACTCTTCTTCTGATCAAGAAGGATTGTTCTTCGTTGACGTTGATACCAAAGAAACGTTAGAGGAGAAAAATAAACGTACTGTTTTTGGAGATGACTTAGTTTTTAGGACTAAAGATGAAGAAGATAAAAATGATCGTGAAATAAAACAGTATTATTTTAATGGAGAGCAAATTAGTGAAAGGAACATTCTAAACTTATCAAATTTATATTCACATTTGTATTTTGAGATGCCTGTTACATTTGAGGCGGAGATAATGGCAAAGAAGATCCCTGTGTATAGTTATTATTTCACATACTCTGGTGGGCGCAACTTTGTTAAGTTCACTACAAAGTTCAAGAATGAAATTGGAGCTTCCCACGGAGATGATATATTCTATACATTCCAAGGAACAATCTTGCCATTCAGAGTTAACAATGATGATCAAAAAGTAGTAGACTGGTTGACAAGAATATTAACCAATTTTGCCAAATATGGGTAAGTTTATATCACACTTTGTCGGAATTTTTGGTCATTTTTAATTATAGCAAGAAAATATTACGCAATTTGTATGTAATATGTTCCACAAGAACATTATTGATAACTTTTATGAAGGCGATGAAACAGACGCTTATTTTATTCTATAGGATAGGCAAATGAGCAGATATATTGTTCTGATGGTAAGCAATCGGCGCCCCCATGGATCTACATAACACCAGGGAATTTACAGGTGAATTATCAGTCTTTTTAAGAGGCAGACAAATGAGGATCCGGTAAATAGGGGATGGGTTATAGGTGATGGGAGGTGGGACAGGATTGTCAATTCAATGTTTATCCATGTCAAACCGATCCATACATAACGTAGTTTGGATATCATACCGAGTAGTTTAAATAAATTACTGTTTCTTTCTATTTTAGTAATCCTGCGCCGAAAGGGGAGTTCCCAATCAAATGGCTTCCCCATAGTAAGGATAAATTGAACTTTTTGAATGTAGGTGATAAATTGGAGATGACTACGATGAGAAACCCTGAAGCTTATCATATGTGGAAACGAATTTACGATAAATATCGTAGAACTGAAGCTAAATGATACAATTTTTATATTATTCTGGTGGTTGTAAGTTCAAATTAGGAAGGTAATGGGAAAACGTCCAAGGCTGAACAAATAATACTTTAATTATGTTACACTGAATATTGTCATAATAGTGGAATGTCTTATGCCTTGTTGATTCTGTATCATGACAAATTTAAAGTATACTGTTAAAAACAATCCTATTATATTTAAAGGTGCGTGTCGTCTGTACTAATATTATAAAGAGGTAAGTAAGTTTGTTAGTTTGTAAGTTTGTATGTAGGGGGTCATCTTTGGAACCGCTGGTTGGATTTCCAAGATTCTTTCACTTATAGATAGCTACAACATTCCCGAGTGCTACAGGCTAAAAGATCACGCTACGATCAAATGGAGCCAAGCAGCGGATGAAACCGCGCGAGAGTAGCTAGTCTTTAGATAAATAGCAAAATTTATAACTACTCGTACATTGTAATTTGCAAAATTTTATTATGAGGGTATTATTTATTTATAATTTTTACAGGGTATTTACATTTATGAGAAATTTCTAATTTTTACTTACAATATTATTCAATATGTTGCTGTAGTTTCATTTGTGTTATTTTCTAATTTTCTTAAAAGACTTAGATATTTTGAAAATTTATAAAAAATGACTTCTCTTCGTTGTTTAAAGATAACTTAGGATCCTACTAATATTAAAAACGCGAAATTTATAATAATGGGTATAATTATTTATGGATGGATGACTGTTTGTTGCTTAAATAAAACACTTATGGTTGATTCTATAGAAGCCTCTGACCAAAGCTAGTACCTACGAAAAGTAACGTGAGAAAAGTGAACGACAAGTTAAATAAAGACAATAAGACAAGGTAAATAAAATACAGTTTTATATAAAGTACAGATAACAAAAAAAGGCAACAAAACATTTAATTTGCGTTGGGCAGGAGAAAAATTTCGAAAACTAATTAGCGGCTCAAAAATTCTAACGATCTCTAACCAAAATCAATTTTTGGTAAAAAACAGAGGACAATCCAACTAAGTATTTAGTCTGTTTTTTTGTATGTAAAAATCTATATTATTTCATTAATCTGGTTTTGGTATTGATATCAGTTATTAGTTAGACAAAATTTTGTATTCAGTCCGTCTATCCATCTTTAGAATCACTAAAAGTTTAAAAATCTAACTCAATAAAAAGTTTTGCCATGTAGAAAACCCATTCTGATTGCTATATTATTTTGAAACATAACACGCTTATTCATGAGTTCTTTGCTGTAGGGAAGTAATAAAATGTATGTATTTGGTTCTAGCTAGATGGACAATAAGCCAGATGTTGTTCAAAAACAATCTAAGAAAGCACATGTGTAAACAATACTAGCAGTTACTGAGTGAACCACAGCCGCATCATATTCGCTAGCTCCTCGTTCAAATTGTGCCAAAAGTCGGATTTAAATTTTTATAAAATACAATCTATTGTACACAAGGGTATGAAATAAAAATGACGATGAGTTCAAGTAAGGAGCTGATAGCGATTTACTTATGTTAAAATAATTTTTCGACATGAGTTGTGTATTAATGTTTTATTCCAAGGCCATGTGGATTCATCGCAATCAGAACGCGCAATCTGCGAGTGATTCCAAAATAACGCTAACGATCACTGCCATAGGATTCAACACGAATGCGCTTGCAAGCGTTTTCAATTTGCACGATAAAACACACCAGGATAGTGCATTGCAGAATGTGCTCTGGCGTGATCTCAGGACAGAGTGAATACAACAACTGTCTCCAAGGGCAGGGCTTGCTATTATCGGGTCACTCTTAAGAAATGCCTAGACAGAACTAACGAAAGCTTACCGAACAAGAATATTTCGGGAGGTAAGTAGCTGTAATTGTCGTCCTTGCGAAGACAACCCAGAGGAGTAGCCCCTGGAATGTGCGGAGCGATAAGGTAGTGCATACTGTAATGATAATGTGGTTTGCTTGGTCTGAGCACTGCCGTATCCTTAGGGAAGCAATCCGCGGCGTTGTCACACGACCGTCCTAAGTTCTGGCAATGTGAAAAAAACAAAAGGAACCGAAGGCTGAATTCTGCTCCTGCAGGGCAGTTATAGTGGCTAAAGAGGAAAAAGAGCGCGAGAGGTGGTGGGTGGTGGTGATCTTCACAACGCCCCAGCCTCCGTAGGAAACGATCCGGGTGACGGGGTTTGCGCGACGGTCTTCAGCTACCTTAAGTGCGGGTCCGCTGACGACAAGCGATGTGTAGTTTACCGCCGTCCACCACCACCGTCTCAAACAGCCATCTGACCGCCACAGATGGCCCCACTATTACATACAAAAAACGAAGGCCACGCCCAGCCGGGGTTGCGGTGTTTGGTAAAATATGATTGAACAAACAAAAGTTTAATTTACATTTCATAGTAAGTAGAGAAATCTAGCATTAAACACATTGTACCACAAGCTGTATTCAGATCGCAGTTCAGAACTACAACGTATGTTATGAATATTATACGAGGGGACTGCGACTGCATGCTTCCTGTCTCTCTCTTACATTAAGTGAAAAGTCAGTAAGTAAACGATTGTTTCTATAAGTTTGAATTATTTGGTAATTTAAAAGCCAATATGAATAACAATGTCATAATAAGGCGACAAATGGTAATGAAACATTATAAGTATGTATATTAATTGTTGCAATGAAAAATAAAAACAATACTATTTCATTTATTTCACAAAACAAATCTCCAAAGGCCCCGTTCTATCTCAAGGATCTCTCGTTAACCCCTAGTGGTCACAATTACACTCTAATTAACGTTTAGCCTTTAATATTTTCATTTGGTACCCCAAAAAAATAGGTCCCTACGCACACGCCACGAATTTTAACAAGACATTAGAGTCGCTCTATCTAGCTGTGTTTTCATTACGCCCCCAGTAGGTACAATTGTAAAATTTTATAAGTATTTAAGCAATAAAATTAAATTTACGGCGCTCCTTAACAACGCCTGTGCGCTTAAAAAGATAACCCCGGGACGAGTAAAGGCGTTATTTATCGCAACTTCGGACTTTCTATTCATAATGTTGCGGTGTAATATTTATATTTTTGGCGTTTATTAAAATTTTATTTGTATTAACTTTTTAATTAGTTGCTGTGAGAACGGTTCTTGTTGTTTTCAAGTTTTTTGTGGTAGCTGTGTCCGGGTAGTAGTAACAAGTAATTTTGAAAACTTTTTTCTGATTGTCAAGTTCAAAATACTGTTTGCAATTCCATCAATATTTGATGCTGTGCCCTACGAACGCTTTGTGTTTGTTTAAAAATGACTTCTTTATTAAAGAATTCCAAGCATAGATTTACTGAAATCGGATCGCAATAATAGTAGCGATCCTACCGAAGCTATCTTGTATGTAAAATAATCCGGCGCTGCATTTGCCATTCATTGCGCTTTAGATAAAACACGCAGACATTTTTATTTTTCCATGTAAAATGTCCATTTCGACGCGCTACTTCGACAGCAGAAAATCAACCCTAAACTTTAGTCTTTAAGTTTAAAATTCATTGAAGGTCTGATTTGAAAAAGATTGTAAGACAATTTCTCGATTTTGAAAAGGGAGTGTGCAGACCGAGCGCTTTTTATATTGAACAGTTTTGTAATATTGAGGGAAAATGGAAAATCGGAAAATTTTATAATGATATAAGGTACTGAAGGAGATGCATCTTTGTCTGGTAAGTAAACTTTAGATAGGTGTAATCCTGCTCAAATTATAAACGAGAAATATTGTAAGTATGGATGGGTGGATTGATGGATGGATCTTTGTTACTATTTCAAGTTATTTTTATATCACTATGGATGATCACTATTTATTAATGTACAAAATAAGTTCGTTAATTTTTTAAATTCACATCACTTTTGATCGTCGTCGCCAGTGTTTATCCTATTAAGCCAGTTACATTTCATCCGCTGGTAATGTTAACGCAAAATTTTCACTTTGTCTTGGCAGACTGGTTTAAAAATAGAACCCTAACGTCTATGTAACAAAAATCACAATAACTGCGACAAAAAGTCGCACAACTACACAAGAAGTCGGAAAAACAACAAAAATGGTTGGAAGTGGCCGCGGAAGCGTGAACCAGTACCGATAAACAACAGACAATCGTACTTATCACTGCCCACTTCTGACGACTTTATCATATTGCTGTACCACTTAAAGGAGTAAGATAGATCTACTTTTAATTTAAATAGTAATAAACGAATAGACAGATCAGACTGCAGACTGCTTTTTTTTACTTCGAAACGACAAAAGACGCCTACCCACCTACCCCTACAAATAAATCTATCTTTATCTTTATCTTTATCTTTACCCATGGGTAAGTAACCTATTCACTCGGACCTTTAAGACACCAAGGTTTACACCCTTTGGGGAACTCAGACTCCAGCCAAGAATTCCACTACTTTGTGATTCTAATGATAAAACTGGAGGCTTCGTACTTGTGGGTGGGATATCCACCATGAAGCGATGACGTTTCGCCGATTATCTGGTAGTATGATAGTGGAAAAGACTAGGGGAGATCAAGTCGTGTAGCTCCCCTGAACATTCTCCGAGGTGCAACCGCTAAAAAATATTTTGATTCTTGGTTCCGAGAAAATACTTAACTATACTTATTAGACTGCACGGTTGGTGCGGTAGCTGGGCAACTGGCTGTCGTGCAACGTGTCGCGGGTTCGATTCCCGCACGGAACAACACTTTGTGTGATCCACATATTGTTGTTTCGGGTTTGGGTGTCTTGTGTATGTAAAATTGAGTGTATTTAAACGCACCCACGAAACAGGAGAAAATCCTAGTGTGAAGCAACTTTGAAAAAATATATATTTGAAGTTTAATATAGCAATAACCTAACCCCTTATTATAACCCCTTGAGATACCACTTCTAAGGTACATGCATCGCCTACCACAGAGGATGAAAATAAATAATACCTATATTTGTTGTACACTAGACAACCTTCATTCAGTTTCCACATTACAAATCCAAAGGTTATCTATAAAAGTTTACGTTGTTTTGTTTACCTGAGTTGCAAACTGTAGCTGGCCTTTTGGGGATAAGGGGCTTATAGGGATTGGGGAGGGAAGAAGGGAGAGGAAGAATTGGCTTCCTGTAACATCATTCATACAACAAAACACATCGTCGTGTCACCAATCCGGTCGAGCCGGCGCGGCATGTAAAGCATGTCTCTCCCACGCACACCACACACCGTGTGCAATGAGACCAGCGATTTTTTTCAATATTTTTGTTTAATTTATGTTTATGAGAACAATACAATGTAAAATGACTAAACAAATTAATAATAATGAAGGTCTTGAAAAAATGCCAAATTACACAGGACCGTTGTATAAACTACGCTATGTAAAATGAATACCAAACTGTAACACATGAAGATAAGTTTGGTCGCCTGCGAACAACAGCAAAAATGGATTTCCGATACAAAGTTGACCTTCACGTAATACCCTATTAAAAGTTTGTATCCACACACCCACAGGATTCGTTTGTCATACTTAGAGCGCTGTATACATCTCAGTAATTATAAGCTTGTTTAATTTGCATAATTGCTTCATAAAACTGGAGTGAAATATTTAACATTGTGAATACAGTTCAGTTGTGGTCATATAAAGTTTTTTTATGTACGAAGAAAAATTATGCTCTTCAAAGTCTTTGCAAAAAACGTTATCTTTTTTGACCATTTATTAGCTCTACCTACGTAGTAAAAGCCTATGCACTCCAGGCTCCGTGATATTAAATCTAAAATAATATGCCTGACCCTTGAATTGAACTCGAGATGGTTCCCGTGCGCTAACTCAACCAACAAGGCAGCCCAATTTGAATCCCTGACAATTACTTGAATTGTACGCTAATAGTAACTATCGTAAAGCATACAAAATTTACTAAAAACTTACGTAAATCAATCGACTGACGGTTGCGCAATATCGTCACGACACGCACGCTGATCATAATTACATGAATAAGAGTCCATGTTAAACTTGAAAAGTAAAAGTTTAGTTTTAAGTGTGGGAGAGCCATGCTTCGGCACGAATGGGTCGGCTCAACTGGAGTGATACCACGGCCTCACAGAAAACCGGCGTGAAGTAACCACAGCGTCGCGTTTCGCCGTGTGAGTGAGGTTACTGGGGGCCCAATTCTCCCCCTCCCCCAATCCCTCCTCAATCCCCAAATCTCCAAATCCCTAATGCCTAAAAGGTCGGCAATGCACTCGTAACTCCTCTGGTGTCCATGGGCGGCGCTGATTGCTTACTATCAGGTAATAATCCGTCTGCTCGTTTGCCGACCTATCACATAACATTAAAAAAAAAAAAAAATTCTCATTTAATTCACGTAAGTGAGTCGTTATTATCAACAAAATTAATACCTGAGTATAATTTGAAGAACATCTGTATTCATTATCCGTGTATTATTTGTCTGTATTTACAGACGGTGATTACGTTCCCCTGTCGTCCCTCCGAGCTTACAATTGTGTGCCACTAAACAACGGCGTATTGCCAACCCTCATTTAAATTATTGGTTCGTATTTTGTCCTGAATTTGGATCTTGACTTGATTTGAGCTGTTAAATATGGAGGGCTTTAGGAACATGCTAATTTTCGAGTACAAGAAGATTTTGTTGAATTTACTATGGTTTTTAACTGTTTAGATACTGAAGTGTTAAGTTTAGGTAGTGTCTGCCATATTGAAATGTATAAAAACAAAATTTATTGGCTATCGTTTAATCAATAAAATTTCTTTAAGTTTTGATCAACAAGATAACAGATTCGATCAGAAATTACTTGTCAGAAGACATGTAAAAATGTACATTGTTCGTTGACGGAGAGACTGGCAGACTTTTATTCTTGACGTTTCAAAAGTACCTCTATTAAAATGTTTAGTTGCAATTAATGTTTTTAATTTTGAATTTATTTATTTTTAGCTGACGAAATGTTTAGTTTTTGTTTAATTCTCCGCCAATAGCGATTTCGATCGACTTTGAAAAAGCTACACATGGTTCAGTAGATGTGTAAACAGTAGCGAATGAATAGCTACAGATCTCGCCAGTCTCTGGAGTCAGATAATACGAACAGTTATCTGTTTAATTGTACTCGCAGGTAGACTCAACACCTTTTGCACGAATTAATGGATTATTCCAC